GCAGTATTTACTCCCCACCCAGGAGCTGTCTTTCTGCATCTCTCCCATTATCTCAGTACCCAGAGGCCATAATTTAGAGACTGACTTAGTTTCTGTTGTCTACTTTTAACTTAATTCTGAACATCTTTATGATGAAGATGGTCTAATCTTTAAACAAATTTTTTTAATTAAGCCTCTTGGAGTCTGAAAGCTATGCAAGGACAGAGACTGACTCCATTGTGTGTGTGTGTTTCATTAGTCACTTTAGAGTTTCAAGCACAGTAAGCATGTAGAAAATTTTTGTCAAGTGACTGAAGTTACAGGCAGGGGGATCATTAGGATTCAGGAAGCATGCCTGGGGATTCAGAGAGATGATTTTTTAAGAAGATGGTAAAATAGTAAGAAAATTAGAAACGTATAACTCTTCTGGAAGATTTTCGTAGGCAGGGTTTCAAACAGTTTCATTAAGTAGGTAAACTCATATTCTCTCCCTAAATTTAAAAGGAAGTGGGAATCTGCTTTAACTCCCCTCCTTAAGACTAGGTCACTGTGCTAACAGGTTGGTTTGTTTCCTAGCATTTCGTTTCAGGTACCTTTTCCTTTCCGACATTTTTCTGAGTTTCTTGCACTCTGGCATAAAAGATCCCAGGATTTTCTACCAGCCAATTCTGGCCTTTCATCTTTGCTAACCACCACCATCAGAAAAAATAAAGAAACTACAGAAGATGAACAAAACGAAAAAAACTCCAAACAAGCTTCCTCCCTTATCTCCTTGGGACCCAATGACCAAGAGCTTGTTTTAGCAAAGACTGTTTTCCAGAGCCTTAACTAGGCTTTGGTGCATTTATCATCACAAGCTTCCTTTTTGTCATGCTTTCGTTTCTTGAGCTTACTTCTAATGACTTCTGCTCCAGGAAGGTCAGAACACAAAGCGACAGGACTCAGAACACCGTATCACAGCCAAGATAGCCAAGTTTGGGTCCCCTGGTAGAGAGTTAGTTGTTTAATGAATAGCAAATTATAAACAGACCCTGAGGTTAAAGGATAAGAGCGCCATCTTGGCCTCCTCCTTGTTAAGTAGACACACTTCCACAGATGTTGGGCCATTACATCAGCAGGGCCCACTGAGGTTAATTCAAACGATCCTGTTGTGCTTTCCACCCGGCTAACTTACCCAGACTGCAGATCTAAACAGGGCCAAACTTTACCTTGAGGTTTTCTATTTTAGTATTGTTTAAAAAGTAAGAAACCCCCATATGGAAAATTGGGTATATTTTTATCATAGTGCAGTAAGTGCTAGGGGTGTGTGGTTATCAAGGTTAGCATGCGTGGGATGACAGAGAAGACCGCAGTTAGACTGCAGAGCAGAGGTGTGAAAAGATGTTAACAAGAATAAGGTTATAAAAACACATGCCTCTTACCAAGCAAAACAGTACTTTTGTTTCTTAAAAGAACTGAAGAGTCCTGATAAGTGGTGATGAGGTTGGTGTCATCCTTGATTCAAATTGATCTTTTTCTGAAAAATAGGTCTGACAGTGCATGTTAGACAAGTATTTTTGGCTTCTGGGCCATTTGAATTCAACAAAACATTTTATTATGCTCCTATTACGTGCCGGGCATTTTCCTTAAAGCCAGGGATACAAAAACGAATAAAGTGTGTCTTTTTGCCCTTGGGGCAATTTAGAGACTGAGAAGAATAATGGAGTTATAAACAAATACTATATAACATTCTGGTTTTGGAGCTTTGATAGAAATAATTATAAATAGTATCTAATGGGCATAGAGCATTTGTACTGTTAAGGGTTAGTGGGGTTTGGGGACGAAAAAGAAAGATTAGGAGAGGAGAGATTTCAAATGACTTGAAATAGCGTGTTGCTGGGCATTCATAGTTATGATTCATAGACATCGGGCAAGGGGAACAGGAAGTAATCTGATGAGTTTACCGGAGTGGTTCTTAAACTGTGGTCTCTGGACAAGCAGCATCAGCATCACTGAGAACTTGTTAGAAGGGCAAATCCTATGCCCCACCCCAGACCTACGGAATCAGAAACTCTGGTTGGGGTGGGGGTAGGGGGACCCAGCAGCCTGATTGTGATGCATGCTATAGAGAACTGCTAGCTTTAGATCATGGGCTTTCAAACTTGACATCTCATCAGAATTACCTGGGAGTTTAAAAATACGATGCCTGAGTCCCACCCCAGAGGATATGATTTAATTGGTCTGAGGAAATTGAGACTTTGAGGGACTGAATAACCTCCCTAAGGTCACATAGCTAATAGGTAGGAATTAATGCCAAGGTCAGGCAGAAACCAAGGCCCATGTTTGTCCCTTTGGTTGCATAGACCTGTCAAGCTGTGTGAGGGCAGAGGTTGGACAGCCTTTCTCATGGGCTCCTGGGCTCGCTGTAAAAGGCTTCTTATTGTTTATTTCGGTTCCCTCAAAGAAAGAGTCCTTGAACAATAGTGACACTTGTGGATATGACTGCGTGTCGAGAACGAGATACAACTATACCTTAGCTATGTTTGTTTTATGTTACTTTTGTTTGTTTGTTTTATGTTTTTATTTGGAAGAAGATTAGCCCCTGAGCTAACATCTGCTGCTAATCCTCCCCTTTTTGCTGAGGAAGACTGCCCCTGGGCTAACATCCATGGCCATCTTCCTTTACTTTATACAAGGGACGCCTACCACAGCATGGCTTGCCAAGTGGTGCCATGTCTGCACCCAGGATCTGAACTGGTGAACCCCGGGCTGCGAAGCGGAATGTGTGAACTTAGCTGTACCACTGGGCTGGCCCCGTGTTTTATGTTACTTTTTAAAGCTACATTTGTTTGTAAATCCAGGAACCTTCTAGACTTACTACAATATACCCTTATTTTCAGCAAATCCAATATATGGAAATTCCATATACAACTAAAAAACAGAATCATCTTCAAACAGGAGAATATTTTCACTTTACTAAAGGATTCAGGGCAGGGATTCAAGGTACTCAAGCACAGTGTTTCCCCGGATGTATATGTGTACTACTGGTGACCCTTGAGACTTTTAGTGGCATGCAAATAAATACTTATATAATTAATAGTTATGTATGAGTTAATGGCTTTTTCTAAGCAATTATACTGTCTGATCTTTCTGCTAGGTGCTTTGCATTGATTATCTCATTTAATCTGTACAAGCTGCTGAGAGGTATAATACCACTCCATTTATTTTAGAGATGAGGAAACCAAGGCCTGGGAAGATCAAATAACTTCCACAAGCTGTGTGGGCTTGCAGGTAGCAAATTTGGGATTTACTTCAGACAGTCAGAAAACAGAGTCCAGCTTTATACTGCTTTGGACTCCCTGTCACTCTGAATATCTGAGTCTCCAGAGATCCTTTTCAGCAAAGTGGCTACATTTTGTCGATTGCAAAGGGCAGCTAGCTACAGGCCGGGCACCTGGGAACTTGTGATCTAGGAGGTCGCTCAAGAACTCTGTCTTCAGGGGTGTTCTTCATTGAGTCCTGCCTAATTGACCCAGTTGGATACTTTCTTTCAAAGATTTTTGAACTATATTAATCAGAAAATAGATCACTTAAAAACTTGAAGAGACACAGAGAAGCAGAAATCCATCTTACTGCTGCAGAGATTTTTTTAGTTGACCTACTTCTGGGTGTTTTCTTACAAAAATTCTCATCACTCAGGGTAAACTTCCTGTATCTCTGCTCCTTGTCAACTCAAAGAACCTAACTAATATCATCTCAGGAGAACCCAATGAGAGCTATGTCTATAAAGGTGTGGAAAATGAAAAATGTAGCCTGAACCTCTATATGAATCAGAGATGATTTATGAGCCTGGAGACATGACTCTAAGACTCTACCCACCATCTTTGAGTTATTTGTATTGATACCTGAAATAGTGAAAGGGAGGGCATGAGTTCTTGACCCAGTTCTACTACAGGGCTACAAAAGGTCTCTTAGGGCACATTTATTTTTCCCTTCTGCTGAAGCTTTGAGTGACCCTGGCATGCGGCATGTAGTTCTCCATGGTTCATTTGAGAAATTGTGCAATCAACAGGACTGCAGAAGAGCAGAAGAAGTTCATACCTAAGAAAGCTTTCTTAGAAACAGATAATTTACAAATATGCTTCTATCATGTAGGGATTTTAGGCTAAATTATGATTCTTCATATACCATGATAGAGGCAGCATTATGATTTTTTAATTTTTTAACTGGCATATATGTAATTTTCTTTTCTATTTGAAATTTTGATTTCAAACCTAGGTAATGGCTCACCTTTTGTGCCTAATGTGTAAAGAGCTGAACCTCTCCTTTGCTCAAAGACCTGCAATCATAATTGTCTTCTTCAAAATGTAGCCACAGGCAAAAACTTTGAATAATACATTCTCATTCAGCAGGCCAAGTCAGGATCTGAGAATATAAAACAGAGTCTCTGTTAGATTATCACAATCTTGCATGAAAGTGTAATATAACTTCAAACTAAGTCCTTTTAAAAGTCAAATGATTTTCTTGGTATGTTACTATTAACCTAACCATCCAAGTCATTAGATTTTTGTTATAATTGCACTTAGAATAATTGGCAGGATGTCTGCAGCTCTTTCCCATCCATGCAATTTGCTTTGACATCACTATGTTAACAGTTGAATGCTTTATGTGAAAATTATATGAATGAATGTAAGTACTGTTTTCAGAATGTATGTCCATAGAGAATATTACCCAAAACAATGTAGCTTAAGCCCACAATTACATAGCATTCCTCTTTGTGAAGATGACATCACAGAGTCCAAAGAAGGTAAAAGAGATTTGAGAAACAGCCTTTTAAAGAGTTCTTAGACTGTGAAAGTTTATTGAAAAGAACGCAAATAGTTTTATTGTTCCATGAATCTCAAGGTAAACCTGACAAGCGTGTTTTGATCAAAATTCAATCAATTACTCTTCTGAATGATTTTAGGTTACTGTTAGATGAGAACTTCCTAGAAGAAGATAGACGTGTTGGTTTATTTTTAATCATGGTTTTGTTTTTTAAGATGGATCTACTGCATGGAAATGGTCTCACTTTGGCACGAGAGGCCTCTGTCCATACCTGTATCCTAGTTAAGCAGACAATCTCCGGGCTGTGCAAGTAGAGACTGATGCTCCCGTTATAATAATTTGCTTTGGCAAGAAATCTCATTCTGTATTTACTTTTCTTCTTGTTGTGGTTCATTTAAACATCTGTTCTTGTGACATGGGAGTTTTCCAGATGGATGTGTGTTTGTCACTCTGTCAGAAAAATCTAATTTTATAAATAAAGGAAGTAGCATAATGGCCCAAGTGTTCTTTATTTCCCTCTACACCCTGATATTAATGAGAAAAATCCCTTGGAATGAATGCCATCTCTACATTAAAGCTAACCACCATCAGTCCTCCCTTTTTCATAACATGACCTTATTACAATCAGGCCAATTGTTCTCAGACTTTCTCAGCACACAGTCCATTGTTCCTCCTGCTAGGGATAGACTTCTCTTCCTTGCAATACATTTAAAGTCCATTCATTTCAGACCTAACCCAAGACTTCTTTAGTTATTCTATAAAGATCTTTTACTGAGGGCAGTGCATTTATAATAGAAAGAACAAGGACTTTAATGCTAGGTGGTTCCATGTTTGATTTCCGGATCCACTGCTGACTCAGGGAGAGTCATTGGGCAAGTTACTTAATCTTTCTGAATCTCAAGAGTGGTTCTCTACCTTTAAAATTCTTATTTTGCAACCTAATAATCTTGTGGTTTTAGATATTAACTATTGATATGGCAGATGAGAATGAAGCTTGCCTTTATAGTGCCTCATCATCCTCAACACTCTCTGTCTGCCTATGCTGCCTATTTCTGTTATTATAGTTACATCACAATTTTAGTCAGATCGGGATGAGACTTAAGATATACTGTAGTTGTTTCTCCTTCCAAGAAGGAGTTGTTAAATGTCCTTTTAACTTTTTTATTTAGTTTTATGTGTACTTATCAGTAACTCAAGCCCCAAATATCCATCAAATGTCCAAATGACACGCTCATATTTTTAAAGGATTCTCTCTTGGAGCTTTCTGACCTGCTCAAATTGGGGTGAATTGCCCTCTGCGCCCGGTGCACAACTCTTCTCCTCTGATCTCTACCTCTGCTGCCATCGTAAATATTTCCTCTGCCTCTTTCCAGGCTTGATTTTCTGTTTCCTGCACCACATGTCTCTGTTTTCTTTTGATAGAGCTTCTTTTCCATTAATTTTCTAAGCCTGGGTTCATGGAGGTAACTTTGTTCCTACTTAAATGTCTGATGAATTTTGTACTCCACTCTCAGGGTAGTTGATAGTTTTGCAGGGTAAAGAATTTTCCATTGGAAAAAATTTCCCTTCAGGAAATGGATTTAGTGCTAGTCTATGCCAAACAAAGTTGAGATGACAGAAATTCTTTTGTGAAACATAGAAGAAGGTATTCAAAATCATAGAGAGATAAGAATGTTGGAGGAATTTATGTTCATTTTGCCCAAGAGGGACAGAAGACGTTATCTTCATTCAGCTATTAGATATAAATTAGTGAGAAGGGCACAAGAATTTTTGAAAAGCTCTGTAGATGACTTATGCTGGGGATGCAGTTGGGGTGTGCATATTTGACATTATCACTGGAATGGGCTCCTTGATTTTAATGCAGATGTTGAGATTCCACAGGAGTAGAGGCCAAACAATGTTACTTATATGCCAGAAGCAAGATGAATATAGTTACTCTACTAGCTGGTCTGGCCTACAGTAATCTTTGATGTTGGTTAAGTGCTCATGGAGTCCTGGGATCAAAATAGTGGTCAGAGCACTGAAATCCCACTTAGTCTCTATTAAAACAATATAAAACTTGAGGTTTTCTGACTAGAAGCATGACTTTCAGCCTTGAGTCATGTCACAGAGCTGAATAAAGGATATAGTCACCACTGAAACAATATCTTGTGTCGATATCACACATACTTATTTAAATCTTCCTTTTAGCCTTCCACAAAAAGATGTGTGTCTATTGGGCAGTGAGGAAAGTGAAATAGCCAGGCTTTTGGAGGGTTATTGGACATAGATTGAGCCTAAGAGCAATTCCTTGGAGCCAAAACGTCACTATGATCTACTAGTTACACAGATGTTAGAGGACAAATGAAATTTTGTTCAAAGACCATTGGGTCCAGTGAGTCCCCAAAGCTATGTTATGATTACTCCCTTAGTTCCTGTGTGGATAATTTGATGAGATGCATCCAGAAAATAGCAGATTGCCCAATCTTTCCTGGAAACATGCTGTTAAGACTGCTATAGTGGGAATGGCAAAGGGGAAGCCTGTGGAACATGCACCCTAATAAAATGATGTCAAAAGCAATGCCACATCACTGGGAGGACTTCCAGAAATGAGAGCCATCATCAAGAACTTAGCCACAGCAACGATGATTTCTAGGATCTCTCCACTAAACTTCCTTGTTCAGTTTCTGTAGGAGACAGATGGGTAGATCTTAGGGAATGATAATGAATTATAATATTTATAAGCATCTCATGACTCCATTCAGCTGCTCTTCCATATGGTTCTCTTTAGTGGGGCAAATTAACATACACCTGGAAGTCAGTTTGCTCTGTAGCTATCAATATAGCATTTTTTGGTTTCTATTCCAACAAGTAGAGATCACCAGAAGAAATTTGCTTTCACATGGTAGGGATAAATGTAAACTTTCACCTTTATCTTTGCCAGTCTTCTAACTCTATGTGATAATTTTCATCATTTCATCATCCCTTAGGATATCACACTGGTCTATTTTTAACATCCTATCATCTTTTAGGATATAATGCTTTTATGTTACATCAGTAATGCTACGGGGGCCAAATGGTAGTAATAAAATTAATGTTTTGGCAATACCTACATTTCAAAGAGGATGTAAGATATATTACACAAAATTCAGGGATCTGTTGCTTAAAATTTCTGGGGGTTCAGTGGTCTGGAGCTTGTTGAGAGTCTCCTACACAGTGAAAGTCTACCAGGGGTGCTCTTTATTCTATACTAATAAGGAAGAGATGCAATAGTTTGTGGACTTATTTGGGTTTTGGATTAATATATAACACATGTGGATATGTGGCTCCGACATGTTTATCAAGTGAATGGCTTACAAAACTGTTTACAAATAGTGAGGCCAGAGCAAGAGAAGGCGTTCCATCAGATCTAGGCTGTAGTACAAGCAGTTCCTGCCCTTGCCCTTATGAAGAAACAGATCCAACGGGGCTGTGAAATCTTTGGCAGACAGATATATTGTAAAAAGCACAGACAAGCCCAAATAAGAGAACTACGGTAGAGGCCACTAAGGTTCTACTGCAAAGTGATGTTTTCTTCAGCTAACTGTTCTTAGCTTGTTACTGGTCAAAGGTAGAGACTGCAAGCGTGTAACTGCAATCAATCTGAACTCCTAAAATGAACTGTTCCTACCTTGTTTTCCCAGGATAAAGTCAGATATGCTGAACTGTTAGTTCTCCATCAACAAATTGAAGTGGTAAACACAAAATCCAGAGTTATCCGATTCTGAAAGCACGAGAAAGTCGCATGAGTAAGTGACTGATCTCTAGCATACCTACTGCTATGGCTCAGCTTCTGACGCCCCAGAGTGGCCTTATGGGGGTGTTCCTATGAATAATCGGCCAAGGCGGAGGGACAATTTGAGTCTGCTTTAAAGATGGTAAATAAATTGCTGGCATCATATGGCAGAGGACTAGTTTACTGTACAGCCTATCTGAGGGGCAGCATTGAAGGGAAAGAAAGAGTCTCCCGGTGAGAAGAACTACGAAGCTACAGCAATTCGTGCGCAGTGACTGATGACTACCTTGACCAGTCTGAGATTTAGAAAGAAGACAGGAGGACTGGTGACAAATTGCTTTAGGGAGGAGAAATATGGATGGGCCTCTTGGAATGGGTCCAAAGGATGAGAACATTGTATGAGAATATGCCCTGGGTGAAAAGTCATCAGAAGGACTCTTCTGTGGAGGAGTCTTTGAATAATCACTTAGGTGAGATTACCCTGTGGATGTCAATCACATCTTTTCTCACGCAATCCAGTGCTTATTTAATAGGCTCGTGAATGAAGTGGTCATAATGACTGAGACTGAGGTCACGCATGGATTTGACAACATGGAATCCCCCTCACTGCAGCTGGTCTGGCTACGACTGTCACTGGGAGACCAGCTTGTCAAAAACAGCAACAGAACTTGAGCCCTTGGTATGTTATCCTATCCTGGAGAGACTAACCTTTCTTTGGCAAATTGATTAACTGTTTTAGGTAGTATTCTAAAATATATTCCTGGAAAAAGGATTTGGAAAAGTACTAAGCTAAGCCAGAATTCAAAGCTTAGGTTTGATTTAATAGGGATGCCATAATTTTATTAATTTTTTCCCTATGAGGTACAGCTTTTGTTTTTTCAAAGTAATTCAAAAATACATCAAGGTGTGGAAAATACAGGTGGTATGAGAATGATTAAAAGAAAAAAAGGTTCTAAATTTACAGATAATACACTAAAACTTGTATTACCCAGGGGCTGGCCCGGTGGCGCAGCAGTGAAGTGAACACGTTCTGCTTCGGTGGCCAGGGGTTCGCTGCTTCGGATCCCGGCTGCGGACATGGCGCCGCTTGGCGCGCCATGCTGTGGCAGGCATCTCACGTATAAAGTGTAGAAAGATGGGCACAGATGTTAGCTCAGGGCCAGTCTTCCTCAGCAAAAAGAGGAGGATTTGCAGCAGATGTTAGCTCAGGGCTAATCTTCCTAAAAACAACCCCAAACAAACAAAAAACTTGAATTATCCAGAGGAAAAAAAAGTTAGATTTACTTGAAATCATTTGGCTATTTTTGTTTCATTATATCCAAATTGCTTTTAATTTTGATTAATTTGATGCTATCACTGAACACAAGCCCATTCATTAATGCTATTCTCTTTCTTTAACTTTCTCAGTCAACAATTATGATTTTTAAAAAGTGATGTATAACTTCAAAGCGAATATTTTTTATTACTGAAAATGAGATTTGGGCTAGAAGATTTCCTTGCAAAAAAGTCTTTCTCCCATTTTAAATTGAAGGAAAACTGCTAGATACTTGGCTGTTGGAAACACATGTTGAATGATTTTCCATATCTGCATTTTCAGCTAATAAAGCAAGCGTTCATAGAGATTAAATTTCAGAAATAATTATTGCATAGTAGTTTAAAAATGATTTCTTATTAACATTTGTTAGTAGTGTTGAAATAAAATTTATTTAAATTCAAGGAGATTTACACCAGGAACTTGTTAAAAACCAGTTAATGAGAAAGACATGAGAAATAAATTTAGGAAAAATGTTAATTTTAATATGAATAGAGTCATGATGATTATAATTCTTATATTCCTGAACAATCTTCCTATTATCCTTTTTCTTAGACTTATTCCAGAGCATATAAGGGAAGAGTTAAGTTTCCTTTTTTTTGTTTTTTGATGAGGAAGATTGGCCCTGAGCCAATCTTACTCTTTTTGCTAGAGCAAGATTGTCCCTGAGCTAACATCTATGCCAATTTTCCTCTATTTTGTATGTAGGATGCCTCCACAGCATGGATTGATGAGCAGTGTGTAGGTCAGGGCCTGGGATCTGAACCTGTAAACCCCAGGATGCCAACGCAGAGTGTGTGAATTTAACGCCACTGGGTCAGCCCCTTAGGTTTCTTCTTAATGATATAATATTAAAACACTATCTTAGTTACATATTAAAAAAATCCTTATATGTGCTTTAAAAAGCAGTGAAACCACCCAACATTTATGATTTGTTTACTGCACGAATGTCTCCATGTGGGGCTAATATTAAAATAATCATAGTTTCTGCCATCAAAAAATCCTTTAGGTAATTGAGTAAATGAAGTTTAAATATGTGTAGCTAAATAACATTTAAATAGTTGTTTAAGAGAGTGTAGAAAGGATATCAAAGACAATCTGTATATGGGGCCAGCCCCGTGGCTGAGTGGTTAAGTTCCCGTGCTTTGCTTCGGTGGCCCAAGGTTTCACTGGTTTGGATCCTGGGCGCAGACATGGCACCACTCATCAGACCACGTTGAGGCAGCACCCCACATGCCACAAGTAGAAGGATCCACACCTAAAAATATACAACTATCTACTGGGGGCATTTGGGGAGAAAAAACAAACAACCAAAAAAAGATTGGCAAGTTGTTAGCTCAGGTGCCAATCTTAAAAAAAAAAAGACAGTCCGTATATAAGTCAAATTAATTTTTTATACAACAACTGCTATGGGGATTCAAAGAAGGGACAGCTCACTTGAGACAGAGTTATTCTGGAATGGTGTCACTTTTCAATGGGAAATCTAACCATCTGGTTCTAAATGTGCCTTTCTGGGCTATAAGGGATAAACAGGCAGATAGTTATGGGCTAAGTTTTAAAACTTCTTGACTAAAATAATGCATAGCTTGGAAACTTCATTTTTCAAATATTAGTGTTAACTAGAAATGTAAAATAGGAAGTCAGACATTAAAAGTATTAGGATTTCAGTTGACATCAATTCAGAGAAAGAGGTGAGATCTGAGCTATTTAGAAAGCAAGAGAAGATTTGGATCTATAGGGAGGAAGATCTCTATCTATAGAGCATTTTGGGCACGTGTAACAAAAAAGTTCTGGGGATGGTTACAGTCAAGGGAGCAAACATGTTGGTTGAAGCAGAGGCATCATATAAGGAAGTAGTTGGCAATCTGGCTGAGAACTTGGGATGCTTGTTGAGGTCAAAGATGGAAGACCTTGAATACCCAGAGCAATTTAAGGTATGGTAACAAAGAATTCTTAATCAGATTTGGAAGAAATAGATGACGTGGAAGAAAATTAAAAAGACAAGACAATAAAGAATGACAATTTTTCACAGCTTCCTGACAGATGTACATCACTCTTCATGACACATCTTTCTGTGGAATCTCCATCTCAACTAAACTCACAAGGCCTGTCATTCTAACATAACCATCCAAAGCCAGTTTTTCGTAAAGGTAAACATAATGTATGACTTGGTAAATTGATAAATGTGCATATTTTGTCTGCTGTAATGATCCCTGGATGTATGAAATGCCAAAATCAGAGGATCCTTTAGTTTAAAATGAAAACTCAAAGGCACTCAAGAAACGTAATCAGTTCAGGCATATCTGTCACTTACGCCTTAGTGTGAATGCTTTCTCTATGACCTTTTCCCAAAGAGTAAGATTAGATGGTTATAGAAGAGAAGGCATTGGGCAAAGAGAGGTAGGTACAGCACATTAGTGTCAGCTCAATCTTTTACTAATTCCATGTGGCAAAAGAAATGAGAAGGAATGCTAGTGTATAAAAAAAGACTATTTTTCTGGTCCCAACCATGCCAACTCAATTTTGTCCAGAGCCAGCCAATTACCACTCTCCTTTCGCCAAACTGCCTTGTCAGATAGCTCTTCATATTTCAGCAAATACGTAATGGGATAATAAATCAGTTGAGTGATTCCAGCATTAAACTAATCAGATACCTGCTCCCTGAAATGGATATCTTGAAGAACTACCAGAAGGATGAAGAGGAGAAGTTTTCATATTATTGCCACCTTTCTCTTTCATTTAGTCATCTTTGTATGGGAAGGGCCACCAATATTCTTTTTCCAGTTCCCTAATGTAAGTCTCTTGAGAGCTCTACTATACATTCTGATTTTAGTCCTGAATTTTACTTAAAGATTTACCTTGCTTTTCAATGGGAAAGCTAGGTATCTTGTCTCGAATGTGCTTTCCTTGGATAGGATAGATAAGCAGGCAGAGGATTATGTGTGAGTTCCGAAAATTCTTGGCTAAAGATAATTGGAACATTCACTTTTGAAATATCAATGTTATCTGGAAACGTAAAATGGGCACTAAGATTTTGAAGTATAAGGATTTCAATTATTATCAATTCAAAAATATAGCTCTTAGTCAAGGTCTTGGATGATTTGTGTAACTATTTAAAAAAATTATACCTTCTTATTTTAGTAGTTCCTGATTGTTAAGAATTTGATTTTGCCCATGTTTGGTCAAGTTGATAAGTTTCTAAGAATTCTTCGACATTCCAGGCTTATTGTTTGTTCGAGGCCTGCCAAGTCACTGACCACATAAGGCTGCTCATGGCAAAGTGTTTGCTTCAATATTTAGTATCATATTCTTAAATGGACCAGAAGGATCAGCTGGAGAACACAAGATACTTGGCAGATATTTCAACTAGCACTATAAAAACAAGGATAAAAACTTGACCAGGTATAGGATGATCAGTAATGAGGCCGTCAAACTGATACAGGTGTGATTTGAGTAGGGCCCAAATAAAACCCTTAGTCAGATTTCTGTGGCCACAATAATGCAACATAAAAATATTTATTTAGCTTACAAGCCTGCAGGTCAATGATTTAGCCTTGGCTCAGCTGGCAGTTCTCCTTGCTTTGACTGACTCATTCACATGTCTGGCTATCAGCTGGAGTGATGGAGCCACTGGGCTGCTACATGTCTGTTATCCTCCAGCAGGCTAGCCTGGGCAGATTCTCATGGCAAAGGCAGAGGAGTGAGAGGGAGAACAAGAAAATATACATGGCCTCTTTAGGTCAAGGCCCAGACCTAGCACACTATTCACTTCTGTTACATTTTAGTGGCCAGAATAAGTCACAAAGCTAGCCCAGATTCAAGGCATAAGGAAAGAGACTTCACCTCCTGATGGGAGAGGTTGCAAAAAGGTGATGAATTGGACTACCAATGCAATAACTCTGCCACCAAGCCCTGAACTCCAAGAACTAAACACCCTATCCCTGAGCTCCTACATAGTTACAGATCAGTCCAGGTGATTGTGAACTAGAATGATCCAGGCCAGACTGGCCTAAAACATGAGATCTAATTGTAGGTTATTCTCAGTACAGAGTAGATAAGCAGGTGCGTCTTTTAGATTTATAATGGTGACAGACAATAACCAGAGAGAACCAGGGATTTATGTGTATGCTATCATGAATATGAATATGCTATGTTTGTGTACCAAGCCTCGGTGGTGTCCCTGCTGCTGTCTCTGTGGGCTCACAGAGTGCACCAGCTTTGGGATCATGGCTGCCTCCACCTAGAATTCCAAAGGATACACTGGGCGCTGTACCTCACTTCAGGAGAATTGTGGGCGCGGGACCCCAGCTTTGGTAGAGGGTCCAAGCAGAGAGTTGAGGCAGAACTTTTTGGCCAAGCCAGAGGGACAAGACTGCCCAGAGCCTTGGGTGTTAACCACTGCCTTGCAAAACTGCATGGGCAGGATCCTTGCCCTGGGAGGTCTGGAAGGCAGAGCACTGAGCCAAAGAGGATTGTTCTTGAACCTTAAGGTCTAATAGAACTCGCCCAGTCGGATTTGGACTTTCTCGGTACTGTCTCTTCTTTCTTATTTCCTAATTCTCCCTTTTGGAATGGGATTGTCTGCCCTAGGCCCATCCTATCATTGTGTTTTGGAAGCATATAACTTGTTTAATTTCATGGGTTCACTGCTAGAGAGCAATCTGCCTCAGGGCGAATCATATCTTGAGTCTTACCCATGTCTGATTTAGATGATGTTTAGATCAGAACTTGGACTTAGATTTAAAGTTGATGCTGGAATGAGTTAAGACTTTTGGGGCTATTTAGATGGAATAAATCTATTGGGTATGCAAGAAGGACATGAAATCTGGGGGGCTAGGAGCAGAAGGCTATGCACTGAATGTTTGTGTCCTCCCCAAATTCATATGCTGACCTTAAACCCCAATGTGATGGTGTTTGGAGGTGGGCCTTTGGGTGGTGATTAGGTAAGGAAGGTGGAGCCCTCATGAATAAGATTAGTGCCCTTATAAAAGAGGCGGTAGAGAGCTCTCTTGTCCCTTTTATCATGTGAGGACACAGCAAAAAGATGGCCATCTATGAACCAAGAAGCTGGCTCTCACTAGACTCTGAATCGGCTGACGACTTGATCTTGGACTTTCCAGCCTCCAGAAATAAGAAAAATAAATTTATGTTGTTTATAAGCCACCCAGTCCATGGTATTTTGTTATAGTAGCCCGAATTCAGAAAGAGTTATATTTATTAAAAATCCTAACAATTGAACATAATGAAAATATGTTGATCTTTCAAATGGTCTTGCTCAAAGGGAAAGAGAATTGAAAATTGGACTTTCAGAGAAGAGGATTTTCTGGAGTCTATAGTTATATTAGTTTCACACAGTGCTTTAAGTCAGCACACTGGTCAGAAATGCCTTATGTCTCCCATCATGTTGGTAAAGATGATCAATTACAACAATTTTCAAAAAGTCTTTATTGGGATTGTAATGTCGGTATACTTGAGAGATACATTTTTCAAAAAAGGTGTATTAGATACCTTTTACTCACTAAGCAGTGCTAGGCACTGAGCTTATAAAGTCAAACGAAAGGACAGAGAAGGAATGTATCATTCACACAAATAAAAGAAGTGCTGGATATTTCCATGGGATATGCTGTTTTCCACGCCTCTTCACTTCTATTAACATACACTGTCTCCCTGTTAGCATACACCCTCTCTCGGCTATAGTGATTTGGAGGGCATAAGACATTTCTGATCAGTGTGGTGATTATAATGCACTGCTTGAAATAAATATAATTATACATTCCAGAAGATCTTCCCTGAAAGTCCATGTATATTTCTTTCAAGTTCAAGTAAATAGCTCTATATAGCAAAAAAGGCAGCCTGGAAGTGGAGTCCATCCACCAGCTACTTATTCATCTGATCTTGCTAGCTGCTATCCCTTTCCCTGACTCATCTAATTTCCTACTAGATTTATGTGGTTAAAGGATTAACAACATATCTGAGTGGCTTATTTTAGCCATCCAATTTTTCAGTTCTTCCTTAGCTTGGGTTTTGTTTAATGCTGTCTTCATATCAGTTCATTAAGTTATTTGGTGAATTCTAACATTGCAATATTTTTTGAACATAAAAAGCTATTTTCTCCAGCAGATATTTCATTTCTAATATAACATGTAAACAGTCTTTATTTTTGGCTTTTTTAGTAGTGCTATTACAAATTGCAGCTTGTAATTTTGACTCTTTTCCCCAAATAAATCTTTGAAATAAATTGGTGTACTGTTTCTCAAGCTTACACCCTACAACCCTGACATTTGAATCACTGCAAAAATATACAACCATGTACCAGGGGGATTTGGGGACAAGAAGGAAAAAAAAAAAAGATTGGCAACAGATGTTAGCTCAGGGCCAATCTTTATCAAAAAAAACATATTTTTTTTCAGGGCTTCCCATTTAAGTAATATTTTCCCACATGACACTTATCTGAGGAAGGCAAAAGAAGCCAAAGCGTGCCAGGTCAGACCTGCTTGACTTAGGAAATTTCTGCAAATTAGACAGATGATATTCATTATCTCAGAGTATTTTTTCAAGAAGTAGCATACCACAACTGACTATTAACCCTCAGACATATAATCATTCTAGGAATCAAATTGCTTCCAATTTGATGGATTTTATCTTTTCAATGATCAGAATGTTATTGTTTATTCCAGAATCATCTGACGCTGAAGAAATTTTGAAGGGTTATCATTGGACTTTGATGGAATTAGAAGCCCACTGATTTGTTCATAAAACCTCAAGACTAGTTTGAAAACAGTACAGACTTGGTTAATAAAACCACCGAGAAAAGAGCATATGGTTATATTAGTTAGTGGGTTCTAGGAATAGCATTCACTCATTTAACAAGTAGTTGTAATCTCTGTACATGCAGAAACATCTTGAACGTGGCTCATTTTGAGCAGTGTGTTCCCCCTCTTGTAGAATATATCTCATGAAACCATGGGCACAAAACAGAATTGACTTATAATTTTAGGCAGCTAATTTCTTAATATATTTCTGATGTTTGATTTCCAGAAACTGATATGCTGTCTGGATGGAATACGATTACTGATCACCTGTATTTTGGTGGTTAACTTACTTTAACAACAAAAAAATGTGATTCTCCCTTTTCTCTTGAGCCATTTCAAGAAAGGTACCATTGCAAGTATAAGGGAAGACCTTTTTCAAACTAATTTTTGTTGTTTACTTGGATATAGTCAGACTGACAAGTGACTTACTTGAGGCTGTAGAATTTGTGCCCTTTGAAAAAAACTTTCCTGCATTACTGAAAGAAATGCAGGCTGCTGGCTTCTCCCTAGTCCCATAGCACGCTGAGCATGTCTAGCCCCTTTCTCTTTTTCTGAGGTATTCTAGCTCCAACCTACATAATTTGATTCAAGTACAAAAATTAAGTGGGTTTACCCATCTGGTTAAGGTTCTGAAATTGTGTGTGGATATATTTGTGTGTGTACTGTGTTATATGTGTAATATAGATACACATATATATGACATCAGTCATTGACTAACTTTTCTGTGATCTTGGCATAAGTTTCAAGCAACAAAATCATACATTCTAGGTAATTCTTGTGGTCTCATGTTTCTGGCATAACCATGGGCTTTTGAAAAGGACAGACCTGTTCTTGAATCCCACTTCCAGCACTTGCAAATTAAATCGCGTTAGGCAGATATGATGGGTAATTTTATGTGTCAACTTATCTGGGTCATGGGATGCCAATATATTTGGTCAAATACTATTCTGGATGTTTCTGTCAGAGTGTTTTTGGATAAGTTAGACATTTAAATCAATAGACTAAGTAAAGCAGATGGCCCTCCGTAGTGTGAGTGGGCCTCATCTAACTAGTTGAAGGCCTGAATAGAATGAACTCCTGAATAAGAGAGAATTCCTCTTGCCCCACAGCATTAGAGATGGGGCATTGTTTTTTTTCCCGCCTTCAGACTTGCTCTAAACCCCCTGCTCTTTCTGAGTCTTGAACCTCTTGGCCTTTGGACTAGAACTACACCATCGACTGTCTTGGGTCTCCATCTGGCTGACTACAGATCTTGGGACTTGTCAGCCTCCATAATCATGTGATCCAATTTATCATAATAATCTCTTTTCATATATATATATATTTGTATAGGATATATAGATCCTATTGGTTCTGTTTCTCTGGAGAACTCTAATATAGTAGGTTACTCAATCTTTTGCAACCTTGATTTCATTACATGTGAAATAGGAATAATAATACCTATTTAATAAGATTGTTGTAAGGTTTATGAGATTAGGAGGGCAAAGGTATCCTGCACAAAGTAGGTGTTTATTAAATGGTAACTGCTGTTATTATAATGATTATTTTTCAGAGCACATAACCTTTAGACCCTAATCTTGGAAGACACAGTTTTAGTTAGTCCAATTTTTTCTTATTTCCAACCTTTCCTTCCAGCTGCAGGAAGATAGCCCTTCCTGCAGTTAAGTTCCTTTAATTTCCACCCACTTACTGAGGATGGATTTGGTTGACTGTTATTTGTGGAGACCAACCAGTTTCTTCTGCATCACACAGCTAGCCAGAGAACTGGAGTTTTTGATCTCAGCACTTCCAAACACCAGCTGCTCTGCTGAGCAAGCTTTTCACCACATTTCACATTCCTATAGTGCATGCTTTCTGAGAAATCTTCAGGAAAGAGGAGATCCTTGAGCTAACTTTTGAATGCCATTCTCAGCAAAGGGCTGAGAACACAGCATGTTTAGAGAAGTCAGAGCAGAGGGTGCCTGAGTGTAGGCACAAAGTGGGCATGATACTGGAAAAGGAGCTTTGAAAATGTGCAACTTGAGGTCTCTAAGCTAATACATAGAAATGTTACCCTGGAGTCCTGCAGTTATTGAGGAGGTCATCAGAGTAAGTTAAGCAGGAATGACATGATGAGATTTGTGTCAGAATGTGTAGTGAATGAATTGGAAGGGAATTAAGCTGGAAACTAGTAGGTCAATTAGGAAATATTCCAATAAATGATAAGAAAAGTGAAGAAGTGCTATTTAGGAAGTGTTTGTGACTGTGGAGAGCAGGGAATAGCTTTGAAAGATATTAAGGATGTTCAATGTAGGGCAAATGAGTGATTGGGAAGAGTTATTAAATGAGATAATTAATACAGGAGGAGGAGTGGCTTCTGCGACTAAGAGAGTCCCCAGTTGGCCTGAGACCCTGCTTTATCAGGAGAGTTTTGGCAGATAACGTGCGCCTTATGAGAACTTAGCCTACTATAAAGATTTCTAGGAGAAATCCAGTTGATGGCTTTCCTAACTTGTGAAGTAGAGGGATACTCTCCTATCTTATGGAATAGGGCGTATTTGCCTTTGCAATCTTTTGGTACTCGAATTGCACAGTCTGTGAGTGACTGCTAGGTATAGAGAGTCTTGATGGACTCTAACGCATATTTGGTTCAAATTCATTGTTATACAGCAGGTAAATTTTTTCTGATATTGAAAATGAGAACTTCACTTAAAAATATTATGTTAATCAAATAAACAGATCATTCCAGTGTGTTGTGGCACGCCTATGTGTACCTGTTCAGTTTGCATATTCTGTACATACTCAATAAAAAAACAGCGCCATCTGCCATGATACACCCAGGAAAGCTAATTATTTTTGTAGGCGTCGAAATGGATACATATTTAGCTTTGTCTTTGCGTGTATTTATGATTAAATGTTATTGAGCATTAAAAAATAAAACCCTTCATGGCTTTTTTCCTAAAATCTAATACAGCATGATATCAAACTTAATACCTTAATTGCAAACTAACAAGAGCTGCTTTTACAATTGCTTCAACGTTTGTAAGGTTATGACTCATGAACAAATTACTTTCATGGTTTGGTTGCATTTATATAAGACAGGGTGTGAATTTTAAAAATGGATCAACAAGATGGGACAGATTTAGGTGTGTACATATTTATGTAACATGTTTAAATATGGGCATAGAGAAGCAGAAAAACAAATACTTCTTTTGGAATATTCAATACTTAAAGCAGAATTTGTGCACTATTGTATTAGTAAACATTTAAGGAAAATTGGCATCAGATAGGATCGTGGCCAAGAACCCTTTAGTAGAGTAAGTTGAAAGCTAGTGGCACCTTAAATCCTTGAGGAAATATGGAATAATGCCACTTGCAGATCTTTCATTTATAATAGATGGAATCCAAGCTCATTACAAATGGTAGGCTCACATCTAGCAATATGCTTCGCTCTCAGGAGATGTTTTAATTCACTCTCGTGATTGTCAGTCATACTATTTGCCCTGTTCTGTGCTGATTTGCCTTTTTGCAAATATAGCCCTGTTATTGTTATGCATTTTACCCACATCTGAGTCTTGTATCCCTCAGATAGATTTTAAGAACAGACACTATGCCTAATGCAATTCTTATGTACAGCTGGCTCCGAGAGGGCTGACAAGTCTTAAGTAACTCTTCCCAGAACATTTAACAAGGAGCAAAGCCCTGAATCTTTTCTAGGGTTCTGAAACCATACCAAGTGTCTCCTAACCAGCTCCGCCTGTGGGTAAGGCAAGCCTGCTCACAGGCAATCGGAGCAAGTTCAGAATTGTGCAGTAAATAGAAGGCAATGCATTGTCATTTATATTACAGGGAAATTGATCTTATTAAGAGATTAACAGTAGTACAAAAGATAACTCCTAGAGGCTTAAGAATTTTCTTTTAAAATGTATCTGTAAGGAGGAGCCTAGAAAAAAGAATTATTATCCAACTAACAAGGCATTTAGGCCGGAGTGAGGGGAGACTTATGTAACAAAGGAGCTCAGACACACTACACAGACGTAAACATTCCTAGTAAACATTTCTAACTTTCCCTCTCTTCTCTCTTTCTCTCTCTCTACACACGTTTATGCATTTATTATGCTATATATTATTATTGTGCAATTTATATATACATTTATGCATATATATAAATGCACATGTTTAATTCTAATTCTTTACATAGGCTAAGTCAAATAAAAGCCTCATCATTTTCCACTTTTACTCTCTTTCTTGAGATATTCTATTACTAATAATTCAGAGATCAGATCAAATTGTCACAGGTTAATTTAGAATTTCTGGGATTCCAACTTTATGGTTAGATAATCAGCCCCATCTTTTGGGAGCTTTTAGAGAGAACAGCTTCTTCTTCCCCAGAAGTACCTAGGAAAGGAATATAATACAAACACTCTTGCCCTGGGCTCTGGCATTCTCTGGGTTCCCCGTCATTCCTGTGCAGTTCTCGGAGACAATGATGCTGCCCTTCTTCCTTTGGCTTATGGCTATTTCTCTCAGCATTTCTAGAGGGCAGCTAACATCAGTGCTCTCAGGTGCAGAATCACAAGCTTCTTTCAAGGGCTAATTCTGCAGTGAAGTTTCTCAGAATCCTTGATGATTGTCTAGAGGGTATAAATTCTCCTGACGACTGCAGAATATTATCCAAATGATCCCTTAAAATATCTTCACAGGTACTGCATTGCAAAGCTATGCAAACTGGAAGTGTCCAAAAGCTGGTACCCATACTGAGCAAGAATCCTGAGACTTTTCATATGTCCCTGCCATAAATCTGTGAGGCATTATGGACAGCACCTCTTTTCTCTCTTATAGCCACATATCCAATCCTGTTCATTCCAACTTCTTAGCAATCTCTTCAATCTCCTCTTCATCCCAAGCCCTTTACCAGAGCTGAGCCACCTTCTCTCATGTGCGTGTTGTAAAAACCTCATCTTTGATCTCCCCACAGGTACCACTGATCCCTCTGATCATTCTTCATTCAATAGCCGAGGTAACTTTATAATAGTTCATGCCTTATTATATTCTTTTTCTAGTTAAAATCTTTCCAATGACTTCTGCTTGCTCATAAGATAAATCCCAAATCCCAGTGTGGTCTATAAGGCCCTATCTGGTGTGAAACCTGCTTACCTGAATAACCTCATCTCTTGTAATGCTCTCTCTTGAACTGTGATCTCTGGCCATTTTCCAATATTTTCTTCCTGTCTGCCTCAGGATCTTCACACATGCTCTTCCGACTTTGGGAATTACTTTTCCGCACCCCTCCATCAACTTTTTTATTCAGCTTCCTGCTACTAATCCTTCACATTTTAACAAAAATATCCCTTCTTCAGGGAGTCCTTCACTGACCCCAGTTCACACCGTCTGAATTGCCAGTTATATACTCTCAGCACAATATACTTTATAGACCAATAATCATTGACATTAGTTGTTTTATACTTCTCCTTTAGACTTCAAGCTCCAAATGAGCACGGACTGTATCTTGTTCTTGTTTTAAATGTTTACATCATTGCTTTTCCTATACCTAGCTTGGAGCATTGCATCCAGCAGATGCTCAATAAATATTTGTCTATCACTTGCTAAGTGTCTCTGGAAGTGCATACGCAGCACTCAGTTCAATAAGGTAAACAGGCACAGTAACACTAATAAATTTCGGATTATACTATTAAAACTTCGGAGCACACGAAAAAATTTCAACTTTTCTCTGATTTTTTAGTATAGACAAAACATCTCAAGTTAATACCTTGTCCCTGGAAAATTATGTCCTTTTGCTTTAATCTCATATAATGCCTGCATAATATAGAGATGAAGTTGGTGAATACTTAATAAATGCTATAGAGGGCTTTCCACTGCTCTAATTCTTTGTCCTCTTCAGCATCTCTATGGATTTAGCTATTTCACTTGGTTGTTCTCTTGGTTTAATATTAGCCCCTGAATTCTAGGAACCTGGTACGAATTTCCTAAGGAACTCTACTGGAAGATACTTTAAATGACACATCACCACATTCTACTGAAAAGTACCCCTCTTTGCCCCTGGACCATCTTCAGGAACTTTTACCCTCTTCCATGGGGTGAATTACTTCTCAAGCTGGCACATTGTCTAGAAAGGTATTGATGAGCATGCTTGTCAAATCAAGAGCCACTTCTCAGTCCCGAAATATCTAGTCATTCTCTCTGCCATGGGACCCACTAGGTTCCATGCAATTAAAATTCAGACTTGAATTGTCTTTAATGATTATAATATTGATGCTATCCAAATTAAATACAAGTGATAAGAAATAAATATAGATCCATAGATCATGTTTATAGGTCTTTTTTTATCTAGGGCTAAAGTTTTACCTATTTACTAAGTGGTGGTGTTTTGGGGTTTGGAATATATATAAGTTTTTCAGCCATGCCATGTAATCTGAAAAGATGTCTATGTGTGATGAGAGGAAAACACCCACAAGAATCACATCTGCTCTTGCACCTGATTTAAGTAATACTTACTACCTGTATGTGATTATATGGATAGCAAGATACGTTTGGATCTGCACATCAGACAGGATTTTTATAAACAGTTACTGCTAACAGAAGTGCTCCAGTGTTTCTTTCTGAACTGTGTAATACAAGAGAAATTCAAGAATATGTCTTGCTTCTCTTTTCGTCATATCATCTTTCAGAGGTTTCAAATTAACCACGGTTAGTAATGAGAGTGGTTTGTTTATGTATTAGCACATGTGTACTAATTCAGAATGATATAAAGATGAACACATATTATGATTTGTTATTCTGGATATCATTTCATTTTCAGCCTCTAAACATATGGAGGTTGAAACCTGTGCTCAGGTATAGATTTTGTGCCTCTTTCAGAAAAAATGTAATCTTTGGGCAAGGTCTGATAATGACTTATTTCTCTGGCTTACACCTAGGAAGTTTTCCTCCAGTTATTTATTTATTTTATTTTTTAGCTTAATTCTTCAATTCATACATAAATATGTTCTCATTGCAAAAGATGTAAACAATACAGATAAATAAAAATCCCTCTTGATAACCCCATCTCCATCTCCTAATCTTATTCCCTTTGCTAGCAGTGACCATGACAAGACATTTGATACATATTTTTGTTAAACTTTAAAATACATTTTGTATATATGTTAGTATATGTTAAATATATCATATAAATGTATCAATAAATATATCATGACTTAGATCAAATCACTCCCTTGCTTGAAATTCTCCAATGGCTTTCCATTTCACTTAGCATACAATCCATCTACCTCCTCCTGGCCTATAAGGCCCTTCCTGATCTGTTCTTGCTTGCTTCTTTAACTCCTTCCTACATTCTCCCACTTGGTCCAGGAACACTGGATCATTCCATCTCTTTAATATGCCCTGAATGTTCCTCCCTCACAGTACGCTCATAAGCCCTTTTCTCTACTTGGAATAGTCTAAACCCAACCTTTACATGGCTGGTACCTTCTCATCATTGAAATCTCAGCTGAAATACCATTTCTTCAGAAAGGCCTTTCCTCAGAGGTTATTCTGGTCATTTAGTCTCCTACCAGGTACTCTCTAGCTAATTATCCTGCTTGAGTATTCACAGCACTTACTACTACTCAGAATTACATATTAAAAAAAAAAAACCCCACCACGATTATCTGCTTTCTCTACTAGAATATAAGCTTCATGAGGGCAGGGTCTTTGTTTGGCTTGTTCATATATTTATATCTCCAGTGCCTAGGATAGCACCTGGCACATAATAACTAATTGTTAAGCAATGAAGACTGGAAAGCAAAGAAAGTCCTGTTCACATCATGATTCATACCAAGGTTTTTAAAGTCAAGTAGAATTGGAGGCAAGGTCTATTGATACCTGTGTGTAATGAGTAAGCTATATAGCTTCTTTAAATATTCTCGTTTTTGCAATAGCAGTAATAATAATAATAATAATAGAACTAGCTCAGTCAAATTGTTGTCCAAATATTAACTGGGATATACAAGCAAAGTGACTACTCTTGTGCCTGGCATATAGTATGTGCTCAATCACGGCTAAGAGGGGAGTGATGTGAGCATCACAGCTGAATATGAAGTCCCTTGTTCGTGGCACCTCTTCCAACAAAAACAATTTGGCATCCATTCATGGAAAAAAGTGCTTTGTGGGAGCTATGGGATCCAGTACCATATGTCAAGCGACCAGGAAGAATTCTCACCCACTCATTTATCAGGTGATAGGTGCACAGACCTCAGTCCCAGCTGTAGACCTTGCAGTGACCTGTGAACTGACTCCAGCCCCTGTTGGCTGTGGTCTGGAAGCCCCTGGAAAACACTGTCTTAGACAATCACCCACAGATGAGAAGAGTCTTTGTTGAAGTCCAGGCTTCTAGCAGAGAAGTTCCAGGACACGTTGGAGCAAAATACCATGAGTTTGGATACATTGGAGAGGGTAAAAAGAACAGTTTGACTTTCCCTGTGTCACCCTTCCCTCAAGATGGCACAGCTTAGGGTGAAGAGAGATCATCTTATTATTTATAATAAATAAAATCAGAAATGAGAAAGGAGATATTGCAAATGATACCACAGGAAGACAAAGCAACATAAGAGACTACTGTAAATACTTATACACCGAAAAATGGAATAACCTAGAAGAAATGGACAATTTCCTAGAAATATACAACCTTCCAAGACTGAGTCTTGAAGAAATAGAAAACCTGAACAGACCAATTACTAGTAAGGAAATTTAATCAGTAATCAAATATCTGCCAACAAAGAAAAGCCCAGGACCAGATGTCTTCCCTGGTGAATTATACCAAACATCCAAAGAAGAATTAATGCCAATAACTTCTCAAACTCATCCAAAAAACTGAAGAGGAGGGAACACTTCCAAACTCATTTTATGAGGCCAGTATTACTACAATACAAAGCCAGATAAAGACACTACAAGGAAAGAAAGCTACGGACCATTGTCTCTGATAAATATAGATACAAAAATTCTCAATAAAATGTAATAAGCAAACCGAATTCAACAGTACATTAAAAGCATCATACACCATGATCAAGTGGTGTTTATCCCTAGGATGCAAGGATAGTTCAACATATGCAAATCAATAAATGTGACAACCACATTAACAGAATGAAAGATAAAAACCATATGATCATCTCATTAGATGCAGAAAAAGCATTTGACAAAATACAACATTCTTTCGTGATAAAATCTCTGAACAAATTGGGTATAGAAAAAATGTACCTCAACATTATAAAGGCCATATATGACAAGCTCACAGCCATACTCAACAGTGAAGGTCTGAAAGCTTTTCCTTTAAGATCAGGAAAAGACAAGGGTGCCCACTCTCACCAGTACTATTCAATACACTACTGGAAATCCTAGCCAGGCAGGAAAAAGAAATAAAAAGCATTCGAATTTGAAAGAAAGAAGTAAATCTGAAAATCCTAAAGACTCTACCAAGAAATTGCTAGAACTTATCAACAAATTTAGTAAAGTTTCAAGACACAAAATCAACATGCAGAATCTGTTGCATTTCTATACACTAACAGCAAAATCTCTGAAAAAAAGAAAGAAAGAAAACAACCCCATTCACAACAGCATCAAAAACAATAAAATATTTAGGAATAAGTTTAACCAAGGAAGTGAAAGATCTGTATTCTAAAAATTATGACTTTTATGAAAGAAGTTGAAGAAGACACAAACAAATGGAAAGATGTCCCACGGTCACGAATAAGAAGAATTAATATAACTAAAATGCTCATAATTCCCAAAGCCATCTATAGATTCAGTGCAATACTTATCAAATTTCCAATGGCATTTTTAATAGAAATAGAACAAACAATTCTAAAATTTATGTGCACCCACAAAAACTCGAAATAGCTAAAGCAATCCTGAGAAAGAAAGACAAAGCTGGAAGCATCACACTTCCTGATTTCAAACTATACTACAATACTATAGTAATCAAAATACTATGGTACTGGCATAAAAGTATACACATAGGCCAATGGAACAGAATCAAGAGCCCAGAAATAAACCCTTTCATATAAGGTCAACTAATATTTGACACAGGAGCCAAGAATACTCAATGGGGAAAGGATAAAAAACTGGATAATCACATTCAGAAGAATGAAAATGGACCCCTATCTTATACCACTCACAAAAATTAACTTGAAATGGGTTAAAGCCTTAAACATAAAATCTGAAACCATAAAGCTCCGGAAGAAAGCATGGAGAAAAAGCTCCTTGATATTGGTCTTGGGAACGATTTTTTGGATATAACACCAAAAGCACAAGCAACAAATGTAAAAACAAATAAATGAGACTGCATCAAACTAAAAAGCTGTTTCACAACAAGAGAAATAATCAACAAAATGAAAAGGCACCTATGGAATGGGAGAAAATAATTGCAAATCATATATCTGATAAGAAGTTAATATCCAAAATATATAAGAAACTCATACAACCCAATAGCAAAAAAATCCTAAACAATCCTATTAAAAAATGAGCAGTGGGGGGCCGGCCCGGTGGTGCAGTGGTTAAGTTCATGCACTCCACTTCGGTGGCCTGAAGTTCACTGGTTTGGATCCCAGGTGTGGACCTATGTACTGCTTATCAAGCTATGCTGTGACAGGCGTCCCAATTATAAAGTAGAGGGAGATGGGCACAGATGTTAGCTCAACCAAAACAGAACAAGCAAATGGGCAGAGGGAATGAATAGACATTTTTCCAAAGAAGAAATCTAAATGACCAACAGGTAGATGAAAAAATGCTCCACATCTCTGAACATCAGGGAAATGCAAGTCAAAACCACAATGAGATATCGCTTCGAATCTGTTAGAACAGCTATCATCAAAACCACAAGAGATAACAAGTGGTGAGGATGTGGAGAAAGCAAGCCCTTGTGCACTTTTGGTCGGAATATAAATAGGTACAGCCATTATGGAAAATAGTATGAAGGTTTCTCAAAAATGAAACATAGAACTATCATACGACATAGCAATTTCACTTCTGGGTGAATATCCAAAAGAAATGATATCAGAACCTTGAAGACATGTCAACATTCCCATGTTCACTGCAATATTACTCACAATAGCCAAGATATGGAAATGACCTAAGTATCTGTCTGTGGCTGAATGGATAAAGAAGAAGTGGTATATATATATACAATGGAATATTATTCAACCATGAGAAAGAAAAACATTCTGCCATTTGCAATAACATGGATGGACCTTGAGGGCTTTATGCTAAGTGAAGTAAATGAGAGAGAATGACAAATACTGTATGGTATTACTTATTTGTGGAATCTAAAAAAACTGAACTCACAGAAACAGAGAGTAGAATAGTGGCTGCCAGGGACTGAAGGGTGGGGGAAAACGGAGCTGTTGGTCACAAAGTACAAACTTTCAGTTATAAGATCAGTAAGTTCTGGGGACTGAGCCTATGGCATGATGATTATAGCTAACCATACTGTATTACAGACTTGAAAGTTGTTAAAGGAGGAGATCTTAAATGTTCTCACCACAAAAAGGAAAGGGCATTTATGTGAGATGATGGAGGTGTTAACTAACCCTCCTGTGGTAATCAGTTCACAACATATAAGTGTATGAAATCAACACATTGTACACCTTGAACTTAGACAATGTTATATGTCATTTATATCTCTACAAAGCTGGAAAGAAAGTGACAGCTAAAAGGAAAAAAAGTGGAGAAATAGAACCAGGTTTGAAATTTGGTGTCTACTCATAGGTGTCATTTCTGAGGTTTCTTATGTTTTCTCTTCACTATTTTAGTTCAGTATTTCTTCCAAGGAAGAAAAAGAGGTTTTTATCCCCCCGCTCCTTTTTTTTTTTTAATTTAAGAGATGTGAGAAGGTAGGAAGGCAAAGATAAACTGCATTGGAAATCCATCTCTCCTTGCCCTTGGATGGATCTTCTGCCGCTCTTTCACTTTTTTGAACCAATTCAGGTGTGAGTGTAGAAGGAAGATCAAGAAACAGAACACACTATTTTATTTACCTAAATTCCCTATTTTATTTACCATACGGTCAAATGCGTACTGTTAGTGGAATTCACCAACTCTACACAGTTTAGTCTACCCTCCGCGGGCAATTAGCCATACTCTGAGCAGCAAACCTGAGATGAAGACAAAAAGACAGTTTGTTAGTTCAAGACCAATGTTTGGCTATTTCTAGTACACAGAATTTAAGTTTATCTAAAATGGTAGACGAGACTTTCCTACCAACCAAATAACCCTCTCTTGTTTACAAACAATTGAAATTTGGAGTCCTATTTAATTTGTTCATGAAGACAAACAGGAAGGGGAGGAAGCAGAATTCTTAAGACTCTGCAGTATAAACAATTGACTAATGAAGGGACACAGATCGCCATAGCTAGATTCTCTCTGGCCTTCACATTCGTTCACTCTCTCTTTGCCCTGGAATTAAGCCAGAATGAAATTAATCTGGTTAGCAGGAATTTCTCTTGTTTAAAGAGTATTTAAAAGTAGGATGGAAAACTATACAAATGTTTTCCTCATGTAATAGCATAAACTAAAAATATCTGTGTCTCGGTCACCACTTCAACTGTCTATGACAACCCTTGTCAGAGGGGTTGGTGGTGGAGAAAGCTTTAATCTGGGAAGATAGAAGGACAAGATTAGCTGGGAACGTTTGACTTTGCAATTCAGAATAAGAAATCTACTACATGATGAACTTCAGCACCTCCAGATTCAAGAAAACTTAAGTAATATGCAGTAGATTCCCCTCTTAATTTCTATTTTTCTCTTAACTGAAAAGTCAGTTAAATCCTTAGCTTGACATATTGTCAGGAGATCTTCTGGTTTTATTTAATTTTAGATTTCTCCTCTTGCTTTGTCTAAGTTCTGCTGATTCCCTTCTCTGTTTTTTGGCCCTTCTGCAGCACCCTTCCCTTCCCTTCCCTTCCCTTCCCTTCTCTTCCCTTTAAGAACCTTGCAGTTGGTTCTTGGGTAGAGTGTGGGGTAGAGCCAGTTGCAGGGGATCTGATCCCAGCTTGGTGGCTTCCTACGTGAACTGTCATGTAAGCCGCTTAACCTCTCAGTGCCTCTCTTTTCTCTATATAAATGGGACTTAACTGACAACTTCATGGAGTTGAAGTGAAAATTAAATGAATTAATTGAATAAAATGTGTTTAGAAAGGTTTTTAGCACATAGGAAGTGTTACGTACGTTTCACCTACTAGCTTTATTTCTAGTGGAAGATTTCATTCAGTTTCATTGCATCTGTTCAAATTTCACATTTATTAACTAGTCCTTCCAACAGTATTCTTGAAGAGGTTGTTCTCAATATTGTATTCTGCCAACCACTTCTACTAATTGCTTAATGCTCAAGAAAGAGTTTCTGTAACGAACATTATTATTATTATTAGTCCAACAACCATTTCCCCTTTGAAATAATTTCCGATTTCCTTCTGGGAAATTCTCTCTGTACCACCTTTAGGTACAATTTGTTGGTGAAGGTGCTCTCTTCCCCCCCTCAAGCCTAATTGGGAACTCTTGAAACTCTGAGAATTTGAGTATTGGGCAGAGTAACAAATACACTGAAAATGGTTGGACTTATTCATTTCACCTGTAGCCCCTGGTTGAACTTCTCAAGTAGCTCCTTCAAACTGAGTCTCTCTAAAAGCTACCTGATGCTACTTGAGTTTTCTTCTTAGTCCTGAGTGC